TTAAAAAGTACATCAGTATGTAAAGAGATTATTAATCTTCAACACAGAATTAGGGTCAAAAAGATGTAACATGGGGGAAAAAACAGCTTTGTACCTGCTTTCAGACTATTGTGAACCAAGTACAAAGCATCAGCCAAATCATTTTGTCCCAGTGAAGATTAATTCCTCAAATATTTCCCCACATGCCACAGCAAGCTATCTTTCTTTTTATTTAATATTCAAATTGTCCATTATTGACATTTAATAAATTTACAAAAGTATTATCACCAATTAAGATTTAATATCTAATTTAATATACATTAATTATTTATTTAATAATGTAATGAACCTACTTTATACCTGGAACTGTGCTATCATTGAGGACACAGCAATTAATAAAACAAAGAAAACAATAACACACAGCAATTAATAAAACAAATGAATAATGACATGAAATTTCTTTCCCACATGAATTCTGTATTCTTACAATAGAGTCAGACAATAAAGAAGGAAAGAATTTAATTAAGTGGTTGTAGTCCGATGCAGTGTTTATATGACAACAAATAGAATACTGTGATATAAATAAGATGGAAAATTTTACTGTAGAAAATATAATCAAGGAAGTGGTTTATAAAAGGTGATGTTTAGCTGAGATCCAAAGAATAGGAATGGCTACCATTGGAAGCAGTGTTACAGACAGGGAAATTAAGTAAACTTTAATTAAGTTATCTCACTGCAGAGATGACATGATCTATACCTAGAAAAAATTCTAAAAGTTTAACCGGAACTTTTACTGCAGGATCATGTTGCAAAGATGTGGTGTGAGTGTGTACTCACTCTTACAACCAGCTATGCCAGGACCTGGCCCCACCCACCAGCAGACAGTAGTCACTGCAGAATTCGAGGCCTGTCAATCAATGGGACCAGGGGCCAGCCACATCTACCAGCATGTCCACAGTAGTCAGCCCACAACAGGAGAGGATCCACACAGCCCACATAATGGGAGTCACTAGAGCACATAGCGCTGGTGATCAGAAGAGAGTGTACTAATGGGATATTTTCTATGTAAAACTGCTCCTTCAAGATTTAGGAAAATAACCAAACCACCAAATACATGGAAATAAAACACAGAAAATCAGGCGAAATGAGGCAATAGAGGAATATGTTCCAAATAAAGGAACACAATAAAAACCCCAGAAGAAGAACTAAATGAAGTGGAGATAAGAAATCTACCCAATAAAGGATTCGATGTCATGATTATAAAGATGCTCAAAGAACTCGGGAGAAGATTGTAGAAGGAGAGGATTGTTCTGACTGCCTGGTCTTTGTTGTAAAAACTCCTCTATATCCTGGTTCCTGCCTTACCTCTTCTGAGCAGTCCCTCAGAGCAATCTGAGAGGCTGTCATCCCGGGCGTGGAGGGGTTCAAGTCCTCAGAAATGTCCGCCAAATAAAACATAACTCACAACTTTTACGTTGTGCATTTATTTCAGTCTACATGATTCAGTGTTTCCAGATGAGAACCTTCACATATACCAAATGGACCTCAAATTCTCCATTTCAATTCATCGTCTTTAATGAAATGTCAGCAGTTTCAGAAGCATTCCCGTTGTCAAGTGCCCCTGTTTTTTCAAGAGCAATTACTCCTAAGGAGGTAAAGTAGAGATGATGGTAATTCATCCAGTAAATATTTATTAAGCATTTATTCTAGGCCAAGTTTTCTCCCAGTTTCAGGATATGCGATAATGAACAAAACACATACCCTATACCACTTCTGAGCAAATAGCTTTCTCTATTTTGAGTTCCTAGATTTCTAGACATGTACTGCTTGCATGCTATATTGTACACTTGTTCATAGCAAAATAATGTTAGGACCCCTCAGACAGGTGTTTTCAGGAAACTCAGACTCACAGATGTGTCCCCTCAAGTTTAGGAAAGTACAGGGCTAATATGAAGTAGGGAACAAGAAAAAGAGATTCAAATATGGCCAAGGAAATAGGGGACCCTTCCAGCACCAGGAATGCTTACAAGGCCAGTCAGCTTTCAGAGTATTCTTGCAGGCATGCATAGAGAATTATATATAATCCTTCCTAAAGCTAGTTGATATATTATTTATAAATACATTTACTTAGAAAACAAACTTGTATATTATTAGCTTAACACTCTATGCCAAGTAATGAGTTCTATTATAATTTAAGACTCAAATAATAAAGATTTATGGGCATTGAATTGTCTAAAAGATTGTTTCATTTGATCTTGAAAATATCTCCACCCTTCCCCATTTCACAAAACTTGAGAAAGTCTTGTTTTGCTAAAGTTTACATTATAAGTGGCAAAGCTGAGATTTGATCTCAGAAGAATCTTCCTCAAAAAGGCTATGCTCTTTACCATTATAGTATTCTTAAACTGGTCACCCAATCTTCAAAAATGTATGTGAAATTTGTAATAATGGAAAATCACACCAACAAAGCAAAATGGTAAAACTGAGTTTCTTAAATTGAATGACTAGTTAAGATTCTAATAAAAATGAGTTTTTATTATTGAGTCTAAATTTG